CACTGGCTTTTGCACAGTTGAACTTGTTCATCGTCAACTGGGGAGAGGAAGTCCCTTGTACCATAAAGTTCAGGTAACGTATACATCACGTTGGGCCGACCACTGGGGACATTCATGTTCTTTGAGGGCCTGATGAGATGGCTGTTCCAAACTAGGGCCATGTCATCCAACTCATCCTGTTGAAAATAGTATACAGACAGATTAAGAAGGAGCTGCACAGTCATATCAGCTTTTATGAGCAAGAAATTATAGCATGAAGCTGCTTTTTTGTCTCACTCCTCCCCTCTCATGTGTACCACATCTCACCACTACCCACTTTTCCTTCACCTTCAATGCATTATGCCAGTGCCGACACAAGGCCAGCTGTGCCGGCTTCATGCCGAATCCGGGCCAGATGCCTTTGCTGACTGGGCGGCTATGTCTCGGATGAAAAAAGCAAGGCCTTTGGACAGCTAACATCAGCTTTACCACCGCCGAAGTAGCCTGCGGCGGAGGCAAAACGCTCCGGTCGGATTTAAAAAAAAAAAAAAAAACGCCGGACACGAAGGCAAAGTTTGTCCACGAAGGCAGCTTCGTCTCGGACGAAAAAAGCAGGGCCTTTGGTCAACTTACGTCAGCTTTATTGCCCCCGGAGAAACCCGCCCCGGAGGTAAAATGAATGGCGAGAAGGGACGCTACTGTCGGATAAAAAAAAATAAAAAAAGCGACGGAGACAGAGGCACAGTGTGTCCGCGAAGGCGGCTACATCTCGGAAGAAAAAGAGTCGTGGTGTCCTCGCACAAGGTCGTTCGATTAAGTCCGCGAAGGCGCCCAGTCAGCATAATTGGTCTGGCCCAGCTCTGGGGCAGACACGGCACGTACACTCGGCCCACATACCTCAATGAATGACGGTCCTGCAGTGGCCCAGGTCTGGCATCCATGATGTGAGCCGCATTGTAAAACCATATCTGGCCCTACTCTGGCCCGACGCTGGGCCAGAACAGGTTCCTGATATCAGCCTTAATTCAACCTCAACTAAGCCACATCTTTCATGAGCCATATTTGACCCACATTTAAAAAAAAAAGTCTCAAAAACGACTCTTATAAAAATATATTTATTGTCATAATTTGTGAACCTCACATATAATCCACATACACTGGAAAATGCACTTTTCTTTATTTTACAGTGAACACAAAGTCCAAATTGGGATGCAGCTTACTCTTGAACGGTATTTTTCTATCCATCAAATTGTTGCGCTCTCCATGCCCTCTTTCCTTCTCATACTCTCCTTCCTGTCACCATTCCGATCAGGAGCCAGCTTTTGATTGTGACATCAATTTCCTGGTCTGAGGCCCAAGACGTTAAGGTGTTAGGTCTCACAGCGGCTGTTAGAACTGTAAGAAAACAAGAATGGATAGTGTGTTCGGAAAACAAACATTT